TCTTGCTATTGGGGTTTAGGGTTTAGGGGTTAGGGTTTAGGGGTTGAGGGCTTAGGGTAAACCCTAAACCATAGCCATAGAGCAAAGATTGGAATCATTTGCTGTCAAAGGTTCTGTTCCGAACAGGCCCACCAAGGAGCTTATGCAAAAACCCTTTGCCAGACAGGGTTTTGATAAAGTCTTGTGGAAGCAGCACCGGAATATTGACTCCCGCAGCACAAGCCATCTGCGTAATCGGAACATCCAATGTCAAGTCAAACTCCCGCAAAACCTTCTGAAGAGCCTTCTCAGCATCATTCTTGCAACAGCGAGCCATCGTTTGTAGAGCCTTTGAAGAGTCGTCTCCGGCGAAGGTCTGCGCGATGCTGACGACGTGCTTGGCCGTGGCCTTGGCAAGCTGCAGATTGGGGATCTGTTTGACAATGAGATGTCGAGGCTTGGATAGTGGCAACGAAGCTAGCAAGTCACAGTCTTGTTTTTCAGTGGCAAATCGAGCTGCACTCATCCACTGCTGAATTAAGCTCCCACCATCCTTTTCACAGAACCCATCGTGCACGATCGGCTCGAGCTGAAACAACATAACAACAGTACGGGGGATCGAATTTCGGTTTATACAGTTTATCTCTCATGCCCTCCCCACCCTTAGATATGTTGCGGCACTGTTTTGTGCCACGGTGGTGGGAGATAAGAGCAGCTTCCAGCATCTCCACGGAGCCCAAATCAGGACATTCGTGCATGACGACCATTTGGTCCCATCCTTTAGCTCTGTACAATTCGAAGCGTGCACAACAGTCATGCGTGATGCCAATCTTGTAGATAGCCAGCTCAAGGCCTCCAGTCTCTAGGCGTACTCGGTGAATCACAGCTTGGCAATGCTCAAGGATTCGACCAGCTAGCGCCACATGATTTGGCAATTTCCAGATAATACGGCTAGCATTGTCCACCTCCAGAACTAGTGTATCCCTTGACCCACTGAACTCTTTGCGTGGGCTTCGGCTGCGATGAAAGGCTGCCTCCTCTTCCTCTTCGTCGTCACTGCCCCAGGGAAATAAGACAGCGTTCTGCAGCATAAAATCCAGATAAGGGTTGCCAGTACGACCAGTCATGGCTTCAGAGCTTCGGGGATTCAGCTGTCGAACTGTGCAAACTGTTGTGGGTTGGCAAAATTTGGGGTAGAGGGCTTTGGGTGTCATAGGGATATTCCAAAGCAAGCATTTCTCTATATGTGCATAAATGAACATCTCTACCTAGACTATCGAACCTTTGTTCCTGCTTACAAGTGAAAGCTGCCTTCGGGTTGCGATTCAGCAAGCAGCAATAATGAGGCCAATATTCAATATCCAAACCCCCTAAGCACAAGTCCTCTGAACTTTCAACGAACCCAAGGGCTCTGCCCCCATTGCAAGAGAGCAATCAACCCTACCCACTAAAGCCAACAAGACTCAGAGACCTTTGCCCTGAACCCTAAACACTCAACCATAAAGCCATAAGCTTAAACCCTTAACCCTCAAACCTTAAAACTTAAGTTCCAAAATACACACTTCTGAACTACTTTGAACCCGAAGCCTAATAACCCTTAGCATGTTCGGGGCCCCAGCTCCACTGCCCAATGTTGTAGCCAACACTCGAGCTCGATCACATACCTCATCTTCTGCATCTTCACCTGGCCCATCACGCTTTCGAGAACTTGAGATCCAGGGCTGGTAATTGTTATAAGATGATGAATGCAAATTTATTTCGAGGCAGCACAGTGCATTTTTTTGGTCACCGAGTTGCAAGATCGCACGGCTGTGGAGTCAAGGGCAGCAACACATAGTTGTGATTTCATGTAGCATCAGGCCGACTTGCATGGCATTGTGTCACAACCAGACCGGATTATTGCAGCTAAACATTGAAAACCATACGGCTTTTGGCCAGCCTGTTGCCACAAACAACTTGTGCTTCCCTTAAGGAAAGCTTGCAAGGGCCTAGGGTTTAGTGCAAGCAGAACTGCCTAAAGTTCACGGGGGGGCTTTCAGCTCGTGGTCGGGTTTGCTACTATCGGATCGAAGAGAAGTCTCGTGCACTTGCCTAGGCCGAGGCCTGCGGTGGGCCCTTCTTTCGCCTACGAGCAGCTGGGGCCTTATCCTCATTCTCAGGAGCTTTCACTTCAGCAGTTGGCGCAGCTTTGCGCTTGACGTCCTTCTTTTTCAGCTTCCTGAGTGGATGCTCAATTTCAACCATTGAAGATCATCCTGTCAACAATACGTACAGTCCCCGAAAATGCCCTAACAAGAGGCCGGTTCTTGGCCTCCCCAGAGATCGCGAGTGTCATCCTCGGCTCAGGAAAGTGTGGGTTGTGGTATGGGCATCGGTGTAGGTGTAAAAAATGATGAACTAAGGCTTAAATTGTTCTGTAATTAAGATCGATATGTCAGATAGATTTGGAAACATCTGTGCCTTTAGTGCCTGGCTGCACAAGTATGGCCTTCAGGGCGAATCTCAAACATTCTGTCCAGATTTCCATAATGGGCTTGTATCAGAGGTTTGGGATTTGGGATTACCAGTTAAATTACTTTTAAGGTTTAAGGCTCGAGGGTTTTATGCCGTTGTTGTACTCTGGCTTTCGGAAAAGACTGTGTGAAAAGGGCTTTCGGTTTGAGGCTACCAGGTTAGTACAGAAAGGGCTTAGGGTCCAGGTTATAGGAATCTCAAGGAGGTGGTTTGCATCGAAGGGTCTGCTTCTTCACATTCTCGAACAATTTTTCGAGCTTCTCAGTTTGCCTCGGTTGCATCCGACCGTGCAGGGATATATCGAAGCTATTGCCATATGACCCTAATTCTGTAATCTGCTGTAAGACGAAGTACGCATCACTCATGTTTCCGATTTTGGACTCAGCCTGCATGGCAGCCAAGTCGTCATAGAGCTTGCCAAGCTGATCTTTGATGTCGTTCAATTTGGGATACTCCCTTGGATGATCTCTGAATATTTCTGTACAACAGCCCGAATACCCCAGAACAAGAGATTACATATGGTTCGGACTGAAAGGCAATTTCACAGCAGCATCTGTAACATCGAGTTTGTCCATAAATTTCATCAGCTTGTCACGTGAGGCTACACACTCGCGCATGTACTGCTCCACCATGTTCTTTGCCTGAGATGAAACAGAATTGCTAGATGCACCAAACTGTACTTGGAGCATACGACTGAACATGTCCAATGCAGCTTCAGGGACAGCTTTCGGGCCTTCGATCTGCAAGTTCGTGGAGGGCTCACGATTCCATGCTTTGTCGAGGTCGCCGGACATGCCAGCGATGCTAAAGCTTTCGGCTGTGCCGGAGGCACTGGTCTGCTCTCTCAACCCTTCTTTCTCTGAGATCCCTTGGCGCCCACTGGTGCGCATGTCGCACCAAAGCTCCTCGAGCTCATCGTCGTACTTGTTCTTCCTGCTGGCATAGCTTATGATTGCGGGGGTGGTTGAAATGCTAAGACCTTTGATCGATAGAAGTTAGAGGAGTTTGTCCTGATATTCCCGCTTGGGTGCGCTCGGACCCATGCAATCACCTTGTCCGCATATTTCCTGAGTTCTCAGCACACAGGCACTAGGATCATAAATTATCTCCTCGATATGCACAATGCAAGTGAAGCAGACTTGCAGTCTAGATTCCCCGACCATCCAAGCCCTCCTTCTGAAACCTTCTTAACCATATCATCCCGCGTATAGAAACCACCGTCCGTGCCCTCGTCCCTGCAGCGCAGGCTCTCCTTATAGATGTCCACTTTCTTGAGAAAGTCCGCCTCTTACAGGGCTCATATCATCGATCGATATATCATAGTTTTACAGTTTCCAAGTCTAGGTGCATCTAGGGTTTGGGGGTTACGGTTTAGGGTTTAAGGTTTAGGTTTGGGGTTTAAGTTTAGCTCTACTCATGAACAGTCCTTGTTCCCATTGGCGTCTGCCAATAGCTGCACGAGGTTGTCTCGGACGGTTCCGGCTTGTACCCAAAGGTCATGCACATCCTTCGGCACCTGCAGCCTGCCTGTGCTCGTGTAGTTGCACAGTCGACGCAATTTTGCATCCATGCGTTTCTTCTCCCTGTCGGCTTCATCACCATCATCATCTTCATCATCCTCGGCCGCCGGAACTCCGGCTCTGTCGTCCTAGAAAGGAATTTAGGGTTTAAGGCTGTGTCTGGCTTAAGGTTTTAGGGTTTCGGGTTTACGGTTTAGGGTAGGGTTTTCGAGAAGGATTAAGGTGGTAAGCTTATCAGGCAGTGGGTCCTTCTTGGATGATGACGGTGTCACTTGGTTGGGCACTGAAGCATTGGTTGCCGGTGCAGGCGTTGCAGTCTGCTGGGTTGCAGTGGCCGGGGGCTGAGGCACCGGGGATGAAACTTGCTTGGTTGCTTGCTTCGGGGTCTGGAGAAGCGGTACTGGGCTCCTCGGGTCTTGCTCCGTTTGGAGCTTCTGGATCATGGCTTGTTGCGCTTGCACCAATTGCATCAGAGTGCTCATATTCTGGTCGATCTCAACCTGCAATGGATAAAGCTACAAAGATCTAAAGGGGTTGTGTGTTGGGAGACTTATCTCTACAGCACTTGAGAAAAGAGTTCCATGGTTCAAACAAAACCAGTACATGTGATAGTATTCTTTCAAACATAAAGAGTCAGGGCCCTGGGTTTTATAGGTTTGCACCGATTACATATAGCTAATTGCAATTATGTTGTAGCCTGCGCTTTTCAACTTAACCCACTAGCTGCCTTCGGGGTTGCTTGGGGAGTCTGCAAAGGGCTGCTTGCAACGTGCCGTGGAGGCGGTGTGCTGAAAGTTTGCAGCCGTGCCTCAGGGGTTTAGGGATTTAGGGTTTCAGGGTTTAGGGATCTAGGGTTTCAGGGTTCACGGGTTTAGGGTTTCAGGGTTTAGGGGTTTAGGGTTTCAGGGTTTAGGGCTTCAGGGTTTAGGGATTTAGGAACTCCGGCTTAGGGGTATGGTTGGGTAGTATCAGTCATCCACGGAAAGCCTTGAAGACCTCATCCTCCTCAGCATCCGATATCATGTACGCGTCACTCTGCAGCAGGCACACGGTGTCTGGGCGCACGTTGTCCTGTTGATGTAACTTCGAGATTGCTTCTGTATGCAACAGACTAGGATTGGTTTTCAAAAGGAGTTTGCACCTCAGGGGGGCTTGCCGTAGATGACCCTAAACCAGCAGCATCCAGTTGTGACTCTGTCGCTGGCAGCGTTGGTCCCGGAGAGCCAGGGGCATTGTCGTAATGAAGCTGTAGCTGGAGGTCCTAGCAAAATGAAGCGAGAAGCCTAGCTACATATTCGGAACTTGACTACAGAACAGGAGACATGCTAAGTATGTTTTGTATCCTGAATGTAGTTCTGCAGCACCTGAGGATCATCGGGAAGTTCCTGCTTCGTGGCAATCTTCAGGCCATCCAGCATGGAGCTTCCGCTCCACGTTCTACTCACAAGCTTCGTGGGCTTGCGAGTGGAGTTGTGCATGAGCGAGGGTGCCCACACGAGACAAAACTAGACCCCAAAGTCTAGCCCAAAACTGCACAAAGGTCTCATCCACTCTGTCATTCTATAAGATTCAGAGCATGCCAGTACTGGTCGTTGGGCCCCAAAACAGTTACGCTTTTTTATGGTCTTTCTACGCCTTTTTATGGTTGTTCTACGCCTTTTTTCCGGTCGCGGGTTTTTGGGGATTCTGTAGATTTACGGTTGTGGCTTCGATTTACGGGCGTCGTTAGGTTCAATTACGGGCGTGGGTTGGAACTTTACGGTCTTGGGTTCACGAATTACGGCCGCAGGCTCGGCATTTACGGGCGCAGGGCTAGAATTTACGGTCGCCGGCCTCCTGAAATCCGAACCCCCCCCAAAAAATTTAAAAAAAAACAGCCAAAAGCTGTATTCAACATGAATGAAACCCAGCCAAATCCTGCAACACAACCGAAATCTAAACTAAATCCAGCAGAATCTAGCATAAACCTGAAGCTCAAGTTCACAACAAAGCCCTAACAGTGCCCTCTCCCAGGTCTGCAGAATTAAAACACCCCAGCACTGCAATTATCCAAACTACCCTGGTAAAGGCTGCACTGAACGTGTCTGTTGGCAGGGAGATTTAAGCTTCGAAGCGTACAACATAAATATGCCCAAGCAATAGGACAGTAGGGAAGAAGCTGTTGAACAGGTGACATTTGGAGTCTACATTGCAGAGCAGCGACAACTGAGGCAAGCCTCGTCTTTCTCTTATCTAGCACCTCTTGCCTCCCTCTCTCTCTGTCTCTCTCTCTCTCACTCTCTTGCTCTCCGCGTGTCTCTCTGCCTCTCTCTCTCTGTCTCTCTATATCTCTGTCTATGTTCCTGAGACACCTAAAGAGATCTCTATATAGTTTATCGGAGAACTAAACCTCTAGACCCCTAGACCCCTTGTATAGAATCTATAAAAACTTAATGCCCATATCAAGACCCTGGCAAATGTTGCTTAATTGACCACTCAGCAACACCAAGCATTGCTTGATGGACCACTCAGCAACACCAAATTTTGCTTAATGCACCACCCAGCAACACCAAATTTTGCTTAATCTACCACTCAGCAACACCAAATTTTTGCTTGATGCACCACTCAGCAATACCAAATTGCTTAATGCACCACTCAGCAACACCAAATTTTGCTTAATCCACCACTCAGCAACACCAGTCCCCTTACAGCCGTCTATCCACCTAGCACCACAAGTTTTTCATCTGTTGAGTTTGTTGTTCTGTCTCCCACCTTCTCTTTCTGTTTCTCTCCTCTCAACACCTTGTCAGATATGCTGCCATGTTGTGCACACCACAGAAGACATGCTGTGACTGACTGGCAGACACTGCAAGATTCACAGGATTAGCACACAAACAGAGAGAGACAGTGAGTGAGTGAGAAAGAGACAGACAGGCAGCGAGGGTGAGAGAGGGACAGAGAGAGAGCGAGAGAGACCGTGAGTGAGAGAGAGAGAGAAAGTGAGTGTCACAGAGAGAGAGACAGTGAGTCAGTGAGTGAGGAGGTGAAGCAAAATCACTCCAATCCGAGCAGGGCATCTTTTAGAACTTGTGCAGCATCCGGTTCTCTAGTCCATCGCACATACTTTATCATAACTGCTGTGGCAAGAATGGTCTCCACTCATCTGGGATGCACAAGCCAGTACAGCCTCGTAGATAAGCTACCGTCTCCGTCAGCCTGGCATCCTCGCACATGTCATTGTAAGATGCTCTTGAAAACATCTCCAAAGCAGACAATGTGACCGGCCGATCAACCTGAACTTTCAAAGACGAGGGCTGCTTGCGTAAGTCATCGAACAGGTGGACCATGCGCTTCGCGAAGCTTCGGGTGTACATCCTCAGATGGCGTGGAGGGTATTTTAGGGTTTAGGGCTCAGGGTGTTATCGGGGCCTAGAGCTTAGTGTCTTGGGGTCTTGAAACACAGGGCTTTAGGGTTTCAGGGTCCTAAAGTAGTCCGAGGTTTTGGAAATTATAGGGTCCTGGGATCCTAAGGTTTAGGGCTTTGGCCACCCGCGCGTTGTTTTTTTTTTTGGTTTAACTCAGTTGGCTTAAGATACCAGAGTCCAAGGCTTTTGGGTCTGGGGGTCCCAAAGCTGAGGAGTTTAAGGTCCTAACCTCCTCTTGCATAAGGCTAGTCGATAAGGGTACAAGGGTTTAGGGCTTCGTGGCCTTCGTTTCCAGTGGCTTTGGGGTCTGGGAGTTTCGGACTATGATTGAAACCCTAAGTTAAACCCTACACCCTAAACCCTACACCTGTAATGAAGACCACAGCACAGAGTGCACATACTGAGTATACTTGCAGCCAACCAAAGGCTTGTGCCATTCAAGCTGCATGAATAGTGCAATCTCCTCTTGTATACAGTATAGACAAAAACGGCTTACCTCCTGCACATCAAGTCACCCTGTCTTGGTAAGGTCCCTTGTACCATGAAATTTCCGTTCACCCTTGAAATTTGTGTATCGTCGCACAGGCTTCAGCTGTCCAGCCTGAGGAGTTTTGGCTTTGAATGTCTTGAGATGAAATTTTCCAGTCCAAAAGCCAGAGATGGCTGCTGTCGACGACCACAACAAAGTAGGTTTCGGAGTCGGTGATTCGAAGGAACCCATCCAAATGCATATTCGATAGATCTCGCAAAGCATTAAAGTTGACTCTTCTCACATGACAGAGCAGACTTGAAACTGCATATGACATGTACACATACAGACTGTAGGCCTTGAAACGCTGGCAGAGCCACTGCATTCGATCATGTTGGAACAGCAGACTGCTTCTGGGCTGCTCGATAACCCAGTTGCCTCCCAGACCCGTTATGAGAAGCACCAGCAGAGCCACCCTCAGTAGCAGCAAGGAAGCAGACAGAACATGCCCTTGTACAACTTCTACCTTCATTTCTGGATTATATCTACACCATCAGAAGTCCCCAATTGAGGCAGATGGCCGTGCAGCCATTATATTGCCATCGGACACCGACGGGTACTCAGTATATCCATGGGGCAGACAAGGGGATCTGTGCGTTGTGCCCTTTGCCATCGAGACCCAGCTGGAGCAAAGTACCCCACACCAGTCCAGGAATCCTGAAGAACTCCCCATCAAAGCTGTGGCAATGAAGCTCCTAAGTTGCAGAGATAATTCCCATTCCATCAAGTGCCACGAAACAGCAATGCACTCCTTAAAATACCAATTGCAAAGATAGAGGATCCCATAGCCACTTGGCCGTAATATGTCCAAGCCCCGACCATAAGCCTTGTCCAAAGCTGCCGAAGAATACCCAGACAGACGTGCTTCATGGGTCAGCACCGCAGAGCCAGAGAAATGCTCTATGAAGTCGAGCTCCTGGCCACAGCATCCCCTTGAAGTTTAGGTCTAGGTTTAGGGTTTAGGGTTTAAGGGTGTCCGGGTTTAGGTTTGCCTTGGCCTGAATGCGTAGGTTTAGCGTGTCTCACTGTGCTTTTTGGAGCCTGGTTTGGGGCCTCAGGTTGGGAGAAACTTCCAGGCTCACTCGGATATAGTGTTGGCCAACCCATGCCACCATATTTTGAGATGAAGCAAAAGTAGAAGAGAGCGCGAGAGAGAGAGAGAGAGAGGGATTATAGAGACCCCCTTTGTAGTCGAGAATCCGAAGCAAACCTGAAACCTTCCACCCTACACCCTACACCCGAAACTTAAAGCACATCCTTGTTGAAGCAGATGTCTTTGTTCCACAGGACAAGCAAGACACACAGCACAAAGACCTGGGCTGGGAAGGGCAAGGATATTTTCTGTGTAGCCACAGGAATACCAACTAGTCAGTTTGGAATGTTGACTCAAGTGGGATTTGCTGCCTTGGGGCTTTCGGCGCGCCGAGGTTGAACAGCTTCGGCACCAGAGTTTCGGCTGTTGGAGGCATGGCAGAAGTTGGCACACTAAGAGGGCTGTCGTTCACTGAGTTTGTCAAATTTCACTTCTATGTCCGCATGAGCAAGTGGCCCTTGAATGATCGGAGCAATCCATCATGAGCTTCAGAAAGCAGCTTCTGATAAACAGCGTGCCGAAGCAATACCATTCCTGCTGGCAACATGACTCATGACAAATAAAGTGGAGTATGGCAGGCACATCAAACGTGGCTGCTGCGGCCTCGATCAGCATAGGCCTTAATCAGGCCTGCCCTTGCAAGGCCTCGCTTGCCCATGCATTCGGCTCCTGCAGAAGTACCTGACAAGAGCAGTTCTAGCTTCGATTGTCGAGTGCATGCATACAGATTCCATTCGGGGGGGGGGGGGGGGGGGNNGGAGCAAAAAGCAGCAAGCTGATGTAGTGATATACATCAGTGCAGGGGTTGTCTGACTTTGCAAGCACACACACACATGCTCTCTCTTTTCTTTGGCGAAGAACCTCTAGGGCTTCAGCGTGATCCACACACCAGAAAGCCGGGGTCGCCCACAGGTGGCCAAGCAACAAGCAGCTATCGTAGCTGAATGCGCACACACAGTTCCCCACTGAACTTCCGAAAATCCTGGCATCCCCAGGCAAGGGTCCTTGGAAGCATGTAAGATTATATCAGTCATGTAGCAAAGAAGCAAGTGCACAAGCTTTAGGAATTGATGTACGGCTTCCAAGCCAGAGGGCCCAGGAAATTCTGTGGGCACATTCAATCACTGGGCTTGCTACCTTCCACCAAGCTTTGCTCAGCATCACTAGAAGATCGAGTAATCCAAAATCTCGTAAAAGGATGTTCGGTATCCATCAGTACCATGAAGATCACATCCAAAATGCATCAGCCAACGACCTGTTGTGAGAGGGGTACAAAATACAGAAGAGGAGAGGGAGACACACCATAGACAAGATCAAAGGGAACCAGTCTTGAAACTCCCCAGACAAGGAACATCAGCCATGGTTGGTCGTAGGAGCACAAACTCTTGAGCAGCCATCTCCATCAGCTCCATGAAGTCCTTGTCTCCAGGGCTGAATCCACTCTGCTGCCAGCGTGCCCGGGCGTAGTGCCAGAAGACAGCCTGAAGAGGGAAACAGGAAGGTATTTAACAATTGGGCCGAAGTGCCATCACGAAAACCTGCAAAGACTAGGCCATGCCTCGGCAGTGGTCCGCGTCCCCTTTTCGATGTGGGGCAGCACGTGCAACCAAAAGTTTTTTGTGATCGCCTTCCACAGCTTCTGCGACTCGGACCCCTTGATCGGGGGAAAGGCACGTCTGGAAAATGTCTGCGGGTAGCTGAAGGTACCATCCGAATCATCAGCATCCATCTCAGCATCCGCGCAGCCCTTTCGCGCCCGTCCGATGGCCTTCACCTTCGCTTTGGCTGTGGCCTTTGCAGCTGGGGCTGCTTCTGGGGCCGTCTCCGGCTCCGGAACTCCATCAGACTTCCGGCCAGCACGGTTGCGCTTCTTCTTTCCCTGCTTTGGCTTGGGAGCCTCATCCTTCGGCTCCTCCCATGTCCCAGCCCACGCAGCCCACTCCGATGCATCCCACTCACCATCATCCCACTCACCGTCATGCCATTCGTCATCTTGGCCAGCCTCTGCTGACCACCAAGCCGAATCATCTGGCTTCTCAGCACTCGATGCTCTTGCGCACTGGGGCTTCTCAGCTTTGGAAATGCTTTGCTTAACAGGCTTTTTGCCACGACCCCTACCACGACCCCTTCCACGACCATTGCCTGTGCTGGGCTTGTCCTCAGAGCCTGCACCCTGCTTCAAGGAAAGCTGGTCGTTGCGGGTCAGCACCTGGATTGGCGAAACACAATAGCAATTTTAGGGTCTATGGTTTCAGGGTTTGTAAGAAGTAATCAAGGGTTAGGGTTCAGGGTTATGTAATTTTCCAGCAATTGGTTAAATTTGTTTTGTAACACCGAACCTGCTTCTCTGGGCTCAAGTCATCACCATACAACAAAGATGACGGCTTTGGCTTCGGAGTTGGCTCAGGAGAATCTGTGGCAATTGAAACACCATTGGCAGGGGCTGCGTGCTGGCTCGGTTCTGGCTCGATCGGCTTCGGGATTGGGGATTCTGTGCGTTGGCTCGGTTCTGGCTCGATCGGCTTTGGGATTGGGGATTCTGCGAGCTGGCTCGGCTCTGGGATTGGGCCAGACACTGGTTCTGCAAGCTGGCTTGGGGGCTCCACTGCTGCCTCCAGAGGCTCTCGCTTCACCCGCTCCGGAGTATCCAAATCAATCACAACTTTGGTTCTCGGGGCAACTGCGCTTGCATCCCACGGCTGGGTCTCTAAACAATCTGGCCGCACTGCTCCACCCAAAGGCTTTGAGTCCTCGATCGGAGGATTCACCATAGAACCTCAGCATCAACACGAGGTGTGGATTATAGATCACTCAAAGCCTCCTTCTGCGAAAATGGTTTCTATATGGTATTTCCGAAAGCCAGGATTCTCTCATCAGAGTTGTGGCCGAGGTCCTCGGCAGCCCTAGCCCTGTGCCTGAGATCAGGATCTGAAATCTAAATTTTGGCCCCATTGATTTCACTCAGCCCATGCATGTTTTGCACAGTACACAGCAGACCATATTCGGAAAAGGAGCAACTCAGCCAGTTTAGCCGTACCAGCAGCCACCAAAGCCAAGAGTTTTTCTCGATCTTGTCCTGGGGCCGTAGATGTAGGCAACGAGGCAGAAGCGGATGGTTCCTCGCGAACCTTCACATCCGGAGAGTCAATCTCAGCTAGCAAGGCCTCCAAGGATCGGGGCCCAATGTCATCCACTGAAAAATGCTCGGCAACTCCAGCGGATGCCCCAGACGATGGCTCCTGCAAACTGTCTTCCACTTCATATGCCCCAGACGATGGCTCTGGCAAACTGGGTCCCACATCACCTGCCCCGGACGATGGCATCCGCAAACTGGGTTCCACTTCAGACGCCCCAGACGATGACACCGGCAAACTGGGTTCCACATCAGACGCCCTGGACGATGGCACCGACGCGGGTTCCACCTCAGCCAACAAAGCCCCAGCAGCTGGCGGTGGCGGCGGCGGCGGAGAATCATCATTGTCGTCGATAAACGGATCAGCATCATCATCTTCACTATCTGGGTGGCGCAGACTGGCAGCATTGCCACCAGCCTCACTTGTACAAACAAACAAACATGAACCGAATTTGCATGCGCTTACTTCAAACCAATATGACATGTGTTCAGACCAGACTCCTGCAGGAAGTTTGCAAAAGCCAAATCATAGAGTTTGACAAGCTCCTTTGCACGGGGGTCCTGAAGAAAAATCGATCAGGATTTTTCACTTTTATTCTACCTCTAGATCATAGAACACAACTTTCAATCCGGAGCTCCTTGGGCACCTCATTGCGCGACCACTTCCGTCGCAACAGAGTCAAACACCTCTTTATCCCCCAGGCATCCTGGTGGGCAACGGCCTCAAGCCCTGCAGGATCTGGGTATCCTGCAAGGGAGTAGAACTCGATCACAAGCGGACTCAACACCTCAATCGATGGTGTATCCACTCTGCCCATCTGGGCCATACATCTCACGAGTGGTAGAAGAACATCACGGTTCTCAGCTGCATTCTTGATGTTCCCCAGCACATGGGAAACTCCTTTCACAGCTGAAACCATCAATGTTCGTCCTCTTGAGGCTCGCCGCCTCAAGGCGGCCACGTCGTCCCACTGCTGGGGCACCCTCGAGAAATTAACCATCCCGGCTGAAGCACGTCTGCTAGCTTGAAAAGTGGCCCAAATGGCTGTCAAGAGCGATGTTTTTTTTCATGCATGTTTCACATAAACTCTTGCACCACAGCACAACACAAGCCCGAAGAACTGAAGAGAGAAAGCAAGTCCGCACTGGAGGGAAGCGCACTGACTCAGGTTCACGATGCCGATGGCGAAGAGCTTCATGAGCTGCCACCACCTGGTGAGTTCATGATCCCCTGGTTATGGTTGGCTCCAATCCCTAGAACTACTACACAGCCCCTCACATAGCCTAGGCCTAACCTAAGCACCTTGAGGCGACACCAGTCCGAAATATTGAAAATCCATGGAAAGAAATTGAGATCCAGCCTTCACCGCGCGCAGAGAAAGACGAAGAAGTCGGCAGCGACATGTGTCAAAGAGTTTGCAAGCTGAAGTTTCGGGCTTCGGAATATTTCGGGAGGGCTTAAGATCTTGATGCCTCCAAGTCTTCTGTGCCTGTATGCTCCGACACCGGAGCAACAAGAGCTTTGGCTTTGAGCTTTGGGCGTTCGGAGTCAAGTTTGGCCTCGGATTGGCTAAGCAATCAAGATCAGCTTTTGTCAGACTTATTCTAGGGAATGAGTGATGCCGACAGAAGGAAGTGCTGAGATCTACTCCTTCGGGTCCCAGAATCTTTTACTTATACCTTTCATCCTAATGTTCGCTGCTGCCTAGCTATTTTCCAAGGAAATCATTATTATGGATATAGTTTTTTCGATCTGCCTATACAATGCACTGCCCTGCAAGCCGGCAGGCCAGATTTCCGGGCGTGTGTGTCCGGCATCCGATAATAAAGGGTCGTTCAGAAATAACTAGGTTATATAGAAATAACCAATTATAATAAGTCGTCTGCGGTAGCAGGTAGGTATATGTATACATGTTTCGCAGATGCGTACATCTAACTGTCTGTTTATTGAGACCTGTGCGTTCAGATTGACTCGTTGCTTGCCGGTGTAATTCTGTCATGTGTGGTTTGGCTCTTGTCTCTTCGGCACTCTCCCCCGATGATGCTACCTACGTGTGCAATATAGCTGATAGAAGCCCTAAGCACACATTCACACATGCCCAAACCAGGGCCACTTATACAAGACCTCACCTTGGCAACCTGCACGTCACCTGGATTCAACAAAGTGGGCTTCCAAGACAGCGGACTCAACTATACAACCCTCAGTTTTGTGACCTACAAACCAAACCCTGAAACACAAAACCCAAACCTTCAGCTACTGACACGAGTATAGTTCCCTAAATTATGGTCCTGTTTATAAGGAGCCGTACTTTTGGGGGACCCATAAAAAAGGGACCCTGATTTAGAGAACTACCCATATCCACATATATATATATGTGTGTATGTATATATATATATATTTATTTTTACAAATACATATGTATAAAACAATTATGTATGTGTATGTGTATATATATATACTTATTTACTTGTATATTTATATCATTATATCACGAAATATCAATATATTAATATCATGAAGCTTGAACAACCTTTCCTCTTATGTCCCAGTCCTGAGCTTGAACCCCAGCCCTATTCCTTGGCGATTCTCTTCTCTCAGGTTCTCAATCGAAGCGAATGTCCGGTTTTGTTTCGGAGAAGAACTGAATGCAGAAGTGTTCCTAAACCTTCCGACTTGCATCATGGCAATTGCAAGATTGGCACTGATGTTCCTCATCGTCATAGAGCTAGCAACCTGAAACCCTCTCTGCACCCTAAACCCCAAACCCGAGAGTCTGAGTCAGGACGACTTTGCATTGCAAGTCGCCACGAAGTCGATCAACGACGCTCTGAGGCACAGTATCTTCGGCCACTTGCCCTGCAAGGGGTTTTGGGTTTAGGGCGTTAGGGTCTGAGCGTTTAGGCACAGCAGGTTCTTAAAGTCCGTATCAGGCTAGTACCTCTTACTAATCATCAAGGCCCTTATATCTACTGCCATAACAACCAAAGCTTGCAAAAGAGGCGGAGGACTTTAGTTCTGTCGGCAACGCGCGCTCAAATCGGAAATGCAAACATACGCCCCGATGAGATGTACGTGGACCGGCATAGAAGGTTGGGCCGATCAACCCCAAACCCGAAACCTTGAGGACTCGACAAGCGGTTCAATTTCGATTTGCATACTTCACCCATAATCTCATGCTGAGTGATTTTGGATGCCGCGTCACCGAGCCAAACGAGAAGATTTTGCTCGCTCTTCGGGAAGCGGATAGCGCACCTCACAGAAAAGCTGCAGATGTGCAGAAGTAAACACATGCAAGCTCTGAGAAGCCACATCATCTAGACATCTGAAACCGCAATGCCAGTGGGGAGATCATCAGACATCGGAGAGAGATCTCCCCAACGAGCATAAACTGAGAGGACCGAATTTATCCGCAAGTAACACGGGACAGTTTTTGTCAATGGGTTCCATACTTGTTGCTAGTGTATCAACATAGCTGAAGCGAAAAAGAGGACCCAAATGACGAAAAGGTTGAACAAGACAAACGGTGCACATGAACTATGCATGCAGACAATGTGAAATCATGCGAGGGAAAGCTAGCTTTGACACAGGCTGTAGAGTGGATGCTTGTGCCTGTGGATTTTTTACGCTGTATGTACATACACCCAAAAACCCGTGTATGTACGTGTCTGCAGAGACATATCTGCATGAATAGATGCATGCGTGTATGAATCAAGCTGAACCTGTGTTTATGTACGAATACTTGTGTAGGCATGAATGTATATGAATATGTGTATATATATATATATGTATATATATACACACATATGTATATGTATATAATAAAAAATACTAATAAAGATACTAATAGTAATACAGTAACTATTATTATACTATTATTATTATTATATATATATAGGATTATATAGGTATACACACATGCACATGTGCACATGGTTCTACATGCATACATACCTATTCTCACTTGCCGAAAAATACGAACAAGGAAGGCACAACATGTACGTTACATACAGACACACTTGCGTATCCACCTTGGTGGCATGGGCCAACTGCGGTCCAAATGGGTATATTCAAATTCATATGAAGACTGTGCAAACTAATCTCTCAACTGATGACGCAACAACTGGCACTTGTTTCAGAGCCGCCATTCCTTCCAACAGCGTCATTATCCGTGTCGCCATCAGCACTGTTATCATTACGAAGTTCCCGCTGATTTGGCCTGCTACTCCAGTTCTGTCCCATGACTGACGCACGAGGTTTCAGAGTCCTTCACTGGCGCAACTACAACTACTGGACCGATGTTGTTTTTGAAGGGTTCCGCACGCGGAGACAGACACAACTTCACGGTAATCATTGCACACCTTGAGTACGAAGATAGCATAGCGAGCTTTGCTCAGTGCAGGACTGCACGACCAGGAAGATATATCAACGTTTGCGGCATCCCTGCCGGTGTCTGCAGAAAGCGTGCTGCTGGGCTCGCTGAGGGAACGCTGGCTATATAGAAGGGTTCTACGTCAGCACAACATGACACACACGCACACATGCGGCATTCAACTTAAAGTACGCTGCATGCATACATGCGCAATGCGCTACGGAGCGAGAGACAGACTCAAGCTTGCAAAACAGTCCTCTAGGCTGGGCAAACATATATCTGCTTCAACCCTAAACCCGAACTCTTGCCCGCAAGGCACAGCATGGAATGGAAGCCGCAACGTACTGCCTTGAGCTTGTTGCCCTGGCAGGAGGTTCAGTCAGGAAACTGCCTCTGTGCAGTGGTTATCCGTTATCAACCGGCATGGCAGCTTTGGAAAGAAAGAACTGCCTTCCTGCAAACTTTGGAAACAAAGAGGGCCCATCAAGATATTCCAAGGATGGAGTGAGCCGGTAAGAACTGCTTCCCTACCGCTGTAACCTCACACACCCCTCCAAGCCCAAGCATCTATTCTAAGGTCTCTACGCAGAGCTGACAGTTCACAAGCAATCACATACGTATCAGAAACCCAAGTATTATAGGGGCCGTAAAGTCTAGAATAGGGTTTTGGGGCATTTTATGCACTAATTATAATCCGAAGTCCCAAGAAACAATATTGGTTACTATTTGGGCTCCTGGAGAAAGTCCGAAAGCTCTCGGCTCGATTCAAAGAGCTAGTAGCTGGAATCCTCCAGCAGAGTCCTCAACACCGAAAACATACGCCCTTACTTCCACTTCCGTCCAACGCCCAGAATGCCGAGTGCCTGGTGTGCAGCCACCAACCCTCTTTGGTTGAAGGCTTGACCCAGTTCCGAACAAGCGCTCAGGGAGGCACAATACCTTCGGACGGGAGAGCCAGACAGGAGGGATTTAGGCTTTAGGCCTTTTTGGGAGTGTGCCGGCAAGGCCGTGGGTAGGACCATGTGTAGGGGCTACAAGGAATACGCAAGGAGAACGGAAGAATACCCTTTAATTATTGTAGCTCTGAGGCCCAGGGACTTTGCTGAAACACAAATGCTTCTACCCATCTGCTTTAATCGAAACGTTGCGCTCCAACCTCCTCTCATGCTCCTGCTAATCAGAAGTAGCTCATTCTCCCCTTCAACAATAAACCTTGATCCCCAAACCCACACACGAGAAATCCGAATTTCTCGATCAGCACCTCCAATTCCAGCCCCCGAGACCTCAGAACTCCAAAACCTGACCCCTTGAAAAAAGCTTAGGAGGTCTCACGTGGATTTATTGCCGTAGTAGTACCGATGATACTACCTTATACTATACTCCTCCTCCTCCTCCTCGTCCTCTGCCTCCTCCGTAGTAGTACTACTCCTACTACTACCACAATAACAACTACTACTACTGCTACGACTCTGACTACGACGCCCGGGCACAATTTGTCCGCGCGAGCGAGCGCAGCCTTGGAGTCGCCCGAACCCGATGTGGCACGGTAGCGCTCCTGCAGTTTTTGCCCAGGGAATGTAAGCGAACTTATATTTTCATACATATATATGTATACACACACATAATTATGT